TCAACAATGAATGTGTGCCAGTTTTGCGATAAGACTTTTGTGAATAGGTGGGTTTTGACTAGACACCTTCGTGAAGTTCACGAATTAATTGAGGAGGAGAAGGATATACCAAGAAATACCATTTGCAGCGTATGCAACAGCGCATTTAGTAGAGCGGAGATAGAGACACATTTTGCAGATCTGCACAAAATTCAACTTGTCAAGTCAGTTCTTAGTTTTTCTAGTGCGTCAGATTTCTACACTTGGAAAAGCAAGACGGAGGAAAAGGAAAATGTGTTGTTCACAAAACAAACAGGACAGAGGATTCTATCTGGTAAGAAGAGAATTTATTTTAAGTGCAATAGATCGGGAAACTTTGAACCTAAGCCTATATCCGGCAAAAGAAAAAGGGAAACAAAGATACAGGGTTCCTGCAAAATAAATGGTTTCTGTCCTTCCTCAATAAAGGCAACGTTTTTTGAAAATGGAAATGTCGAAGTAGAGTACTGTGAGACTCATGTAGGCCACACTTTTGACCTAGCTCACAAACCATTGACCTTTGATGAACGTCAAGATATCGCCGGAAAAATATCAAATAAAATTCCTTTTGGCACAATACTTGAAGAAGTTCGGTCAACTTTGCAACCAAACTCGCTAAAAAGAATACATTTACTGACGAAACAAGATCTGTATAATATTGAAAAAGAATTCGGTCTTAATGAGACTATGCGTCATTCGAACGATGACATTAGTGTCGAAGCATGGGTACAAGGCCAAAAGGGTGAAAATGACTGTGTTTTGTTATATAAACCACAAGGGGTTGATGAAACTGCCACATTCGCCAAGAATGATTTCGCTCTTGCAATAATGACTGAGGAACAAGGAGAACTTTTGAAAAAGTTTGGTTCAGACTGTATTTGTATAGACAGTACTCACGGTTTGGGCGCTTATGATTTTGAAGTGGTAACCGTTATGGTAATTGACAATATGAGACAAGGATTTCCGTGTGCATTTTTTATCACAAACAGAACAGATAAATCTGCTGTGAGTGAATTTCTTTCAGCAATCCGAGAGAAAGTTGGAATGATAAATCCTAATGCGTTGATGTCAGACATGGCTGAATCATTTTATAACGCGTGGAAAGAAGTAATGGGCCCAGTTGATAACAGACTTTATTGTACATGGCATGTCGACCGTGCATGGCAAAAGAATCTGTCAAAGATAAAAGATTGTGATAAAAGACAAGCAGTATACAAGAAGTTAAGAGTTCTGCTGGAAGAAACAGATCCGAATGCATTCTTGGCAATGCTGGGACCAGTTATTGACGAACTTCGCAGCGACCAAGCCACCGAAGAATATGGTGATTACTTCAAGGAACATTACGGGTCAAACTACCATTCATGGGCATACTGTTTTCGAGTAAATGTAGGAATTAACACTAACATGCATCTGGAAAGTATGCATAAAACAATAAAGCATTTTATATTGGAAGGAAAAACTGTCAATCCACTTGATAAAGCGATAAGTGCAATCATGCAACTCATTAGGCAGAAACTCTTTGACAGATTACTAATAATTGAAAAGGGAAAACTAACTTCAAAAATAAAAATTCTCAGAAACCGTCACAAAAGTTCTTTGTCCATGAACCCAGACTTAATTGTTAAGTCCGAAACTTTAGAAAATTCGTGGAACGTTGCGTCATCAAATTCTGCAGAAATGTACACGATTTGTCAGATAAAAGAAGAATGTCCATGTAGCATTATTTGCAAGCAGTGTACAGCATGCATACACAAGTTCACATGCACATGCATTGATGCATGCATTAAATCTAACATGTGTAAACATGTGCACCTACTATGTCGGAAATTGATGTCGGAAGATCAAGCCCTTAATGAAGATCAAGATCAAACACTTAACCAAGATCAAGTCAAAAGTTTGGAAGAAAGAAAATCAATATTGGCAGAAGTCTCAACTAAAACTGTTCTGCCCACAAGAGTGAGACCTACTGACAAACTTCTACTAAGGCAACGTGTTGAGTCAATTTTAAATAAAATTGACAACCCGGAGAGTTTAAAAGTAGCTGATCAATGCCTGAAAAACCTAGATGCAAAGTTGACATCGATAAAACAAAGGAATATTGCCTTAAAAGTAAGAACCAAGACCAAAAAGATAAAAATCGAGCCTCAAAGGCGTTTTTTTTTCAACCAAAAACAAAAAGAAAAAAGGGTTGAAAGCAACTTCCCGACCTACACGAGAAGAATCTCAGCACATTGCTTTAACAGCATTGTTGCTCAGTACAGGGGTCGAACCTTCAACTCCATGAGTTGCTTAACCAGGTAGGCTAAGATCAATATTAAGACTAGTTTATTTAATCCATAACTTTAAACAGTAATAATACATTATTGTATTAACTGTAGTCTTATTATTAATAATACATTTTTCCCCCAATTTTTATTTAATTTATATAAATGTCATCATATTTACTTATCATTTAATTTAAAACAGATCGTAAATAAAACCAATAAAACTTTGTAAAAGAAATATATTTAATAATTTTTAATCATTAGGTAATAATCAACCATCAATTATAAATTAAATTAAATAGTAACAGCTGACACATTCTTATTTTCTAAGTTAAAGTTCTTGTACTTCAAATTTTTTTACTTGCCTTGAATTTTCATAATTTGAGTATCTACTTAAACAGAATTGAATAAGCATGAGTATTTACTTGTACTTCTAAAAAGCCTTTCCAAGAAAGTATATACCCTCAGAAACCTATAAATTTGGTGTGAATAACCACCAGCAAATACTTGCCTAAAGAGTAAATACTTGTTTTTCAACTAGTTATCAGTAACCCATGCTTGTTTAAGTTAACTTGTTGATAAATGCATGTAACACATTCAGTATGGTGTAATACACTTATTTAAATTATGTATGACACTAGTGATTTCCGCAAAATAATGCTTGGGTTGAAGATGGAACCTTTGTGGTATTCCTTCGTTATGTTCAAGCTATTTGTTAATGAAAATCCATCCACAAGTCTCAATAATGCAAAACCTTCACATTTTACATGTTTAAATGAAGGCCTTAGACCTTCAATAATATATATATTTATCATATATAGCCTATAATATATATATATAGGTACTTGTACTGTATAATGTTTACTTTAAAATGGAGTACATACTTGCAAGTATACCCTCATATCCGATAGATCAGTATACCACCTCATTTAGGAAGTAGTACCAGGGGACCAAGCTTTGCTCGGGGAAAATCATTAGTTTACTCTGAAAACAGTTTAGTATTGCAGATACATTAATCCAGTCCCAAACTCCACACTGCTTACCTTTACTACTTCCTTCACCACTCCCTACGTTGTGGACCTGTTTGCCCTCATTTTAGATTTGCAGATCTATAAATGCCACAGACAGTTCCCACACTCTGCACTGCTAGCCTTACTACTTCCTTCACCATTTCCTACGTTATGGACCTGTTTTCCTCCCTTCTCATAGCATTTTAGGATTGTAGATACCCTAATCTAATCCCCATTAACAGTTCCCACACTCCAGACTGCTCGCCTTTACTACTCCCTTCACCACTTCCTACGTTGCAGACCTGTTTCCCTCCCTTCCCATAGCATTTTAGGATTGCAGATACCTTAATCTAATCGTCATAAACAGTTCCCACACTCCACACTGCTAGCCTTTACTACAATCATAGATAAAAAAAGTCCTCCTACAATGTATCCAGTAATCTTCAGTATCATCTTTGCTCAATAGTAACAAAAACTGATGTTTTTCCTTTTGTACTGTATTTTGTAATTGCTAGTATACTGTGGATAGACTACTAACAAGTCTTTTGTTTACTTTTTCCTTGTTATTCAATTCAACTAACATGGTTACTTAGCAACCCATAAGACTTTCAGTTTCATTTTTCTACGTAATTAGAATTTTGTTGGCAGTTCTAACTGCAATAAACTCGTTTTTAGACCAAAAATAAACTATTTACAACATTTGAAGACAATCGTCGGAGCCGTTTTCGAGATCTTGGTGCAAGCATACATACATACAAGCAAACATTGCTCGTATTAGAGTATAGGATTTACTTGCAAGTAAAGAGTCGCTTTTATTCACAAGAGATTACCTGAACGATGAATACTTGCAAGTATTTACTCGCAAGTAAATACTTGCTGTACTTGTATTCACTCGGCCCAGTGGTATGCTAGTGAAATCTTTTACTGAAATAAAAGTTTTTGAACTTGAACACACACACTGACATCCCAGATATTTTCACAGAGAACCTACAAACATAAACGTAGACCCATGTTGAGTAACTTGTGACACTGACAAACAAACAAAATAAACAAGTAGGCCTATAGAAAATTCACAATAAGATATTTCTCATTTAAAATAGCCTAATTTTTATGTTCATTTTGTTGTTACAGTTTCCAAGATGAAGAAAATGTTGTAAATAGATGTAAATATTATTTGTGTGTATTAGTGTGTAATATAATATGTGTTAAATTGTCGCTTTTGAAGAAGAATTTATTTTGAAGACGAAGACCAGGAATTTTAACACGAGGTATGTTACTAGTTTTAAAATGTTCACAGCTGAAAATAGGCCTACCTGTAAGCTATAATTTAGAATGACATGGAATTAAACTTTTTCTTTCTATACTTTTGTTATTTTAAACAGTGTAAACAACAAGTAATAATAGTTAGGATTTTTATGTAATTCATCTTTATTTGGACTTATATAGCTATTTGTAATTTTTAATAATTATTCTAGAAATAATTTTCAATTAACATATTTAGACTTATATTTAACATTTAACGGCTACTGTACTTTGTTCCCGCGTAATTTAAAACAAGCTCGGTGATGACAGAAGCAGAAACCCGCGGTCAGATGTTTAGTTCGGATTTCAATTCCGCTGTCCCGTTTCTAGACAGACGAAAAAAAGGCGGTGACGGTCTGACGGCAAGGTCTCGTAGCACAGCTCAGTGTTGTAGTGGCTCCCGCGCGAGTCAGACGCAAGTGTTGGCGGTTAGTGCGCGTACAACGTGCTGAGTCGTTGTTTGTGCTGTTTTGTGTACGGCGTTATTTTGTTTGTTGTTTGTGTGCTCATTCCGGCAATTTGGGTATTTATCTTGGTTTTATTTTTTAAAAGTTACTTTTACTGGGGTTTGTTGGTCAGTTGTTTTTGGTAGGTTGTTTGTTTATGTTTTTTGTATAACTTGTTTTTTCAGTTGATAGTTTCTATAGGTTTTGCTATACACTACACACCTTGATAGTAAATATACAGGATATACATTCTATATTCCATTATTGTGTGGCTATGATGTATTTGAATAGCATCTATAGTGTATACACTTCATTGCGTAGACGACAGAAAATGCTAAATGTTACCAATTAGGAGATATAAGTAGTTTAAAATACGTCATAACATTGGATTATTTATAATGAAATGTCTGGTAGTTGATTGTTCAATAATACCATAACAAATTTAAAACGCAATTGTTAGCGTTCAAAACTCAAAACAGGTTATATTGTTGATAAAAATGAACTTCCATTTCACAACGTCAATATGAAGGAAGCAAATCAGGAATGCAATCAATAAGTTATTGTTCTCGTACTTTAATTACTGGTTCGCTAATACTTGTTCACTTTAGAACTGCTCATAGTACTGTATGACAATTTATAGACATGAATGCTACGTGAATCAGCCTTGGTATTATTACAGTATAACATGATATTGTCTAGAAAATTATATTTATGCATATCCAATAAAAAATCTCATAACAAAACATTAATAATTATTATATTAAGTACAGTATACATACATTTATTGGAATTTATTGTGTGTGTGAATTAGTGAACATGGTACTTAATGGAATCCTAACTAATACTCGCTCGTAGAACCCAGTATGCCTACAATGATATCCCGCAACCAACGAAAATTGAAACGCATTATTTTCACCGCATACTATTATATTCGTCTTTGTTTGTTGGACAGCTATTATATAGAATTACAAGGAGTTTTGGAATGTCTAAATTATTGTTTTGAACTCTGCGAGACTCGTCTTTCCGGGATATAAAATGCAAGAATCCTGGTGCAACTCGCATGCTGAGCCCACGCAAGGGCGTGTCCCATGCTAATGTAGTTGTTTACACCACCGCCGCGCCGGTCCGGATAACCGAGTGTCCGATCTAGCGGGGTTGTCGACCATCTCGGTGTGTGAAGGGCTGATTGCTTGCCAGTTTCTTGGTTGACGTGTTCGGATTGTAAATTATGAAGATGAAGTAGTATGTTCAGCGCCTCATCTAATGTTACACACGTTTTGGGGATTATACTACGTCTTCAGGATTTCCGAAGTCTAAACAAATTTCGAACTCATCGGTGCCCGTTTAACTTAAATAAAAATTAAATAGGTGTCCCAGAAATATAAAGACTGTTTGAACGCCCAATAGAAAAAAACATCGTGAAAACCTTAAAAACAAAAAATTGATGTGATATTTTTAAATCTACCTCAAATGTTTTATTGTAAACTAGCAACAGAGCCCGTTGTGGTTAAATACAACGGTCTATAGTAAAATAATGGTTGTGAAATCCATACACCACTTTACTCACTAATATTAATGGTAGAGATTATGGTCGGTTGGATGTAGATACTAAACTACTACAAATGCACGTAAAATAAGTTTTGATAGTGATGAACTTACCGTACTAATTTTACTTCATGAATTAAATAGTAGTCATTGAATTAAATGTGGATTCGGTTTAATGCTAATTATGAACCCATTGTATTTAATGGGCATTCTATACTGTATTATAATTCGATTACATATTCATTTCAAAAAAAATTTAATACACAATTTATTGACTATTCGCATATGATTGATTACTATTAAAAAGTATTAAAGTACGGTATTTTATTGACTTCAATTAATTTTAATTGTTCATTATTTTTATTCTTCTGTAGGTAACAAATAGTGTATGATTAAACATATAATAATAATATTTAACAATAATAATTAACAATAATAATATACTATATAGAATAACAATCATATTTTATCATCAATTCCCTCATATACAGAATATTATGAGTGTACCAATTTTAAGTTGGTTGTATTTTTAGCTGTTGTGATAACACTTATCAGTATTCTGCAATATATCTGTAACCGTTGTAAAGGATATGAATTAAACTGTTTACACTTCGCTGTCGAATCTGAAATTTTCTCACTGGCCTTGCGATAAGATATGAAGCCAGTAAAATTAAATGGAGTGATAATGTGTAGACTCTAGACAGCCTAACGTAATTGTAAGTTTTCTTATCATAAAGGTTACACTAAACTTGATGGATATTGTACTTAAATTTTGTAATATAGACTTTATATTTTTATCGTAAACCGACCGTAGACGGGTCGTCGATATCAAATCAAATCAAATCAAAATGTCTTTATTTCGTAAAAGTAATCATTTTTACATTTTTACAAAATACAGTATCAGATTACCATAAGAATATAGAGTACTTGAACTAAACGAAATGAATCCCACATGGGAGAACCCGTGCGTGGGAGTGAGTCATTCTGTACTTTAATATGAAAGAGAAAAAAAAAAAATTATACATAATAAGAAACAAAACAAAATACTTCTATCCACTGGCATGATTCCAAAGCGTTGTTCAAATTTAGGGGCTTCACAGCTATTATTCGTTCTGGATCTTTAATAATGCTGCAAATTAAAAAAAAAAAATATCTTTCCTGATAATCTGCTTACTACAGTTTCCAGTTAATTTATTTCTTAACCATAGAGAGTTTTAAAATTTAAGGAAAATCCCTCTATACCACCTAATATACTTAACATTAATCACAAAGTTTAGGATTAACGCTTCAAATAATACACAAATGGTTTCCTTCCGTCCAAATGTTCTATATCTCTCACCGAGAATTATACGATGATTACGTATACTGATGTTTAAAAACAATCAAGTTGCCTATTGTCAAGTTTATTTAGCTTATCTCAATAATCCCCAGACAGTTCCTATTATCATGAGTGTGTCACATTTTGATAAGTTAATGTGCCAACGTTTTGATTACATTGCTTCCGCGTTTAACTGCCTGAAAAACTGGATGGTTTTGTAGTTTTTAGTCATCCCATTTAATTAGCCATATCACGAATGGTAACTGTAACCACTTACTATTACTAGTACCTTGCTAGTTTATACGGGCATTTAGTTTATTTCCCACTTTGTAGGCCAGTGGCTAAGATGGTTTATAAAAGTACAAATACAGTAGTTTCGTAGTACGTGATATGCATTTACGCAAACACCAAACTACGACCCATTTATAAACGTTTTTAATCTCAATTACAAAGATATAAATTCATTTGTTTACAAATCACACGGTAATGCATGCTGAAATAGTATAAAGTGACTTCGGTTCTGAAATTTTGGTTTATCTTTATTAAGATTACTTTTTTTGGTTTGTTATAATGACCCGATTAGAATTAAACTTATTGGCTGATGTTCATACAATGACACTTGGATATAATAGTTTGATTCCTGTTATGAGATAAGTCGCATTTTTTACTCTCGAGTCCAATTCTGACCGGCGATCCGACTCCATCACGGTTCCATAAATGTCAGATAATCGTAAGTCGATGGCATTTTGGTATTGATTAACGTTTGATAAAACAAAATAGATTCACATAACACCCTCAACGCCTGGACCTACACCAAGGCGAGTAGACACCGTTGTCAATGAAGACGTGTACAGCCTCATTATGATGCTACCTGCGTCCAGCAGAGGATGTATGATCAGTCATAGACTTGGAATGGTGTCATCAGTAACACCTAAAGCTAGGCGCCCACCGGGCAACTCAGCGGGTGACGCGGCGCGGCGCGGCGCGGCGCGACGCCGTGGAAAAAAGTTGCCACGTATCCGTGCCATGTTATCTTATGGACTGACGCCCACCTAGCAACCCAGCGGGTGGCGCAACGCGGCGCGGAAAAAAAACTTCTTCTCGAATCCGGCAGTGAGAATTCGGTGGAGAATTTCTTCCTCTCGTGTTGCCGCGCCTCCGTTGAGTTGCCTGGTGGGCGCGGGGTAGAGGCACGGAAACGGCGTCTGCCCCTCGTCTGCCGCTCATTCGGGTGTTTTCGGAAAGTATCGTGAGCCCTCCGGGAGTGTTCGGGTCCGAATCGAAGTGCACTGTGCATCCCCTCCAAAAGAATAATTCTCAGCGCTGCCCCGCGCTTCCGCTAGAGTTGCTTGGTGGGCGCGAACCCTGGAGAAGCGGACGGAAGTTTTTCTCCGCGTCGCGCCGTGCCGCGCCGCGCCGCGTCACCCGCTGAGTTGCCCGGTGGGCGCCTAGCTTAACACCTGTGGTGGCGCAATTCCGTATGCGGCGCGATGGAAATGAACCATCCATAGGGCCGACCGAGGCCGAACTGTAATTTAGTCTTTACTGGCGTTGTCACAGTTGTGAATTGTAATTCAATGTTGGGCGCTCTAGGGGTTCTGGTAATATTGGAAAGAGTCAATAATGGTGATAGTGTTGGAGTCTGTCTTTCATACGCACGCGTTCTCAACTTAAAACTTGCCTTACGTGAAATTTCTGCCCAAAATTTATCTCTTAACTGATTCAAGACTGGATCGAAGTAGTCTGAGGATTTATGACCATTTTTAGATTTTAATGTTTCTCGGAACTTGTATATAGGCAATTTTCTTTGATTTCGGCCATTTAGATAGTGTATTAGATAAATTTTACGGGTCCACCACAGTTTTAGTTTTTCATTATTGTTAAACTTTGATGCATTAAATGAAAAATGTACTCCACGATTTGAATCGTTGCAATTAATTTGACTATTTCATCAAACAAAAATTATTATTATATATTATTCGTCACAGCTTCAACGGATTAACCAGCTAACTCAAGAAACTCTTGACGTCTGCCTGTTAAAGAGGCCTGTTCTTTTAATCATGAACGCGGAAGACAAGAGGGAAATGAAAAAGACAGGCTACGATATGGGAATGGAGTAAAGGCAATGTGCTTGTGTATAGAACTTTTTGTTTTAAGATCAAATTCATACTAATGGATCAGGCTTTTCATTAGAATTATTAAACACATTCTTTG